CATTCATTTTTTAGCTTAACCTAATTCATGGCAGTGATTCCATCTCTAACGCTGGGTGCTTGTTATGGTCTTGATTGTTTCTTGCTGATTTTTTTTTTTCAGACCTGGGATTTCACTGGTGGGGTACTCCAGATGAGGAAGCTCCCTCTATCAATGTAGCTAGATGACACCTACTCTGCCATCGGCAGTCATAGAGAGTTGGCCAGGCATTGAAAGGTTAGATTGCTTGGGATCACACAGCCAACATCAGAGGGACCAATCTCTAGGTCTTGCTGATGCCAAGGCCAGCTCTTTATCCATTACAGAATACTGCTTCTGTTGCTGATTACTTTCTTGATAAGTAGGATATTCTGGTGGGGTTGGGTTGGAGTGATGTAAAAGGAATAAGGTTTGATAAATGTAGGTTTTTTGTGTCCTGAATCTCCATGTTTACTATGGGGAAAGTGGGGGGAGAGGAGGTGTCTTAGAATTCTATAGCTCCCCATTCTCCCTAACTAGCATGGCACAGTAGATACAACACCAAACTTGGACTCAGGAAGACTTAGGTTCAAATCCCACCTTAGACAGTTACCAACTTTGTGATACTTGGTGTGTCATTTGTCTTCCCTCACCCCCAGTTTCCTCCTCTGTGAAAGAGGGATAATAACAGCACCTACTTCATATGGTTGTTGTGAGAATGAAGCAAAACAATGTGTGGAAAATGTTTTGTAAACCTTAAAGCAATACATAAACTTGAATTATTTTTATTAAAACCAAACACCCCTTAAAATAGCTAATGAAGTATATTGGTTAAATTTAAAAAGCTTCTTTTACCTGTTACTTGTTAAGAAAAAGCCCACAGTTTAGGATGATGTAGACCATTCAGTTGTTTATACGGCATCTCAGAAAATAATCTTATTTTTCATCATTCCTGCATCAACCACAGACCTTCAAGCCATCATTAGTGAAATTGTGTCCTCAGTTCTTGAAACATCTTTGGACATTGTGCTACCCGGTGTGCCTTCATTTTCTCATTAGACATGTTTTCATTTATCCAAAGTTAGAGCCATTTATCTATTTCATAATCCCTCTGATTAAACACAATGGCTGAGTAAGCCTATTAATACATTTCTCTGTACTAGTGTTTATCTTTCTAGGTTGTATACTTATTGGTAATCTGGTTCTTGTTGCTAAGGGTACGAACAATATGGCAGACCTTTGTCAGACTCATTTCTTCTATTACCTAATTGCATCTTTCTATCATGTGTTTTGGTAACAGACGTTAATGTTTATACTTAGTATATGTAATGAATGGCCTAGATTCCTGAATATTTCTGAGCCAATTATGGAAGATGCACCAGTGAGAGTACATGTACCTTTTGGTACACTCTAAGGAACTTTGAAAGCTTTTGTGCTTTGCTTTATGGTTTTTTTTTTTTTTTTTTTTGTAAACTACCCTGCATTAAAGCTCTGGTAAAATCCATTGCTTTCTCATAACATGGAAGTGTCTCTGGGTTCTTGAAGGCAATCAATTACAGGGAAGTGCAAGTTCTGACAATTTCTATGCTTCTGGGAAAGCCTGTGTACCTGTCATCTGAGAACCTAGCAGAGATGCCCTTCATCTGAAGTTTGGACAGTTGATGATTCCATACACACACTCTTTTCCTCTCTCTGAATACATACTACATTATACTATACATGTATGTGTGCATATGTGTATTATATATATGTGTATGTATGTATTACATATACTATACTATAGATCAGGGATGGGGAACCTGCTATAGATTGTGTGTGTGTGTATATATATATATATTCATATATGTAAGTATAATACATATAGAAACTTTAAAAATGATTTAATAAGTCACGAGAAAGGCTGTGACCTTGGAGGGGTCTGACAATGATGACAATTATCTTAAAAATACTTTTTACTGATACTTTTTCTTTATGTCACATTCTCACTATTCACTCTTCTCTCTTCTCTCCCAACCCAGTATGTTCTTTAGCATAGAGCAGGGATGAATAGATTAAAAAAAAGGGAGGGGGGGGAAATACTGTGTTGAAACACCTGCATGTATTCCTTCTTATGTAAGCATTTGGATGGATTATTAATTCAATTTGACATTATTGAAATATGATTGATTTAGAAGGTTGGGGAGGGAGTACTTTATATGCTGACAGGCTGGGACTGTAAAGCAGGCCTTCCCATTTCAAGTTCAGAGTTCTTTTCATATATTACACTAGCTGAAAGTTGCAGACAATCACATTACTGGGTCAGGTCAGGATGGAGAGGTCAAATTTTGTGATTCATGGTGAATTATTACAGTGTTAAAGACTCACTTCATTATAGTAAAAGAAGGAGAGAGCTACTCTTCATCACTGTGTTCATGGGATGAGAGGAGAGATATGGGAGGAGAAGTGGTAATGAGTACATTTTTTAGGATAAGGAAGCCTATGCCAGGAATATAGTAAGAGTACTTTATTTATAACTCATGTGACACAGTGGTTAGAGTGCTGGACTTGAAGTCAGGTAATAATAATAATAGCTCACAATTACATAGCGCTTTAAATTTTGCAAAACACTTTACAAATGTTACCTTCTTACAACAATGCTGGGAGGTAGGTGCTATTATTACTCCCATTTTACAGATGAGGTATCTGTGGCAGAGAGAAGTTAAGCAACTTGCCCAGAGTCACAGAACTGGTAACTATCTGAGTCAGTATTTGAACTCAAATCTTCCTAATTCTAGGTCCAATGCACTACTTAACTACCTCCTAGACTCAAATCCTGCCTGGGACACTTAACTAGCTATGTGACCGTGGGCAAGTCAGTAGTCCAATTTGCTTCACACTACCAGAAATCATTTACTATAAATGGGGTGTGAGTAATCTTCCAAATTCCCCAAAGTCATGGCTGTGTGTGTATTCTGGCACCTGGCTCAGTGGAGGCCAGTTACGACCTGGGATAAAACTGTTCTCCTTATCTTTTGGGCCCAGGCTTCCATGGGACTTTATGTTGTCCTCAGTTTCTTCAAGCCCCTTCCTCCACAACGGTAATCATGTTTTTACAAACAAGCAGTTTGCCCTTCCATACTATGGGTCTTTTCCTCCTTCCATGAAAAGTTAAACCTTTTCTTTTTTTAAATTAATTAGCCTGCTAAATACCGAAAGATGATCAGCTACTTCACTTAGTTGTGATAATGACTCAAATAACGTAATAGGGACCTTTAATCCTTTCACCCAAAGGAGTAACTAATGTGGAAATTGTAGGTAGTTATTTTGGAAAGGAAAATGGAGGAGTTATTTGGTGGCAGAGGGACCTTTTAGCTGCTTAGCATGCTTACATGTCAAGTTAATCTTAACTCAGCAACATTCTGGGCTCAAAGGGGAGCTTAAAATTCAAGGAGACTCAGTAACCTGAGAGTTAATTGGGCTTCCAAAGGTGTCTAAATTGCCACTTATCAACTTAGGCACTAGGAGACTATGGTAACATACTAATTTATTCTGGGCATTAAGAAAAGGAGCAAAATAGCTGAAACAACTTTAATTAACTGAAAGGTTATTATGTAGGAGAGAAGTTTATACTAACTTACAGAGTTCTTTAAATGTAAAAGTAAATTCCCTTGATTAGGCAGTAATCCAATTTTTGAAAGTTTTAGAAGAAATTTGATATTTAACAATTAAAAATGATTGTTTTTTTTTAAAGGGGGAAGGTGGCAGAAATGAAGAAATAAATAATATGATGGGAAACTTGACATTGGCCTGCTTTGATTCATTTTAATTTTTACTGTTAAATTTCCATTGGCAAAGTCAACAACAAAAAAGTACACGCTGTACAAGACTAATTTAAACACAAAGGAAACCCACCTACAACTTTATTAATAACCAACTTTTTTTTTATTAGAGCAAATACAGTTGTGAAAACTGTACATTATACATTTTGGGGTCAAGGACTATAAATAAAGGAACTCATAGGTAAAGAGTTCTTTCACAGCAAGAAACTTTAAATAAACAAAGTGACATATTAAGTACATTGGCAGACTTCATGTGCTGTCCAAAATGTAGTGTACAGTATAACAACCCATTATAAATAGCCTTTCATGTAAAATACAGCTTGTGCACATTTTAGAAAAATACCAACAATTTCTGTTTGAGCTTTGTTTTTAAAAAAGCTTAGAAATCATACATATATTTATAAATGGAACCACCATGCTTACTTTATAAACATTTCCTGAAGTTATCTGTTACTCATTATTTCCAAAGCATTTAGTACTTTAAATAAACATTTAATAAGAATTAAATATTTCAGTTAAAAAATCAGCTTTCCCAGTAAGGAGACATGGAGTGCGACAGGAAGGAGCAGTGACCTCTAGTACCAAGGTTTATATAGAGACAAACATTTTTTAATTTAAAAATGTTGCTTCCTAAATATCAAAGTAAAAGTATGATTTTTTAAAAAAATAAATACACAGGTTGCAATTTTCATTTGCTCTCTTTCTGCTTTCTTCTTGATTCCATACTGGTCACACACAGGATTCTCAACATACTGTACTTCTGCAAAAAACACCACTGGGTTACTACCCTGCAGTTAGCTGGCTCAGGAGACAAAGCATTAAGTCCTCACCTATGTTACTGTATGTGCTGCCCTGAAAAGACAGCATACAAGGTGGAAATAATTCTTGTTATATCGTGCACAAAATGAAAAGGATTTACAAAAAGTTTCCCAAACTACAAAGGATAAAATATTTGAAATAAAGAGACAGAAGTCTCTTCCTTCCTCCAATTTATTTTTTAAATAACAAAAACGTTTACTTTGAGGACAAGCATCCTACATACAGTTTCTGCAAGTAAATATGCATGCTTTTAAGTAATAAAGGATATAGTAGTTACAGTTCAACCTCACAAAATAAATGCAGCTCATATAATAATAAATACCACCAAAAAAAAAACCAAAACAAATACCCCAAATGAAAATTTCTAAGGCTTTTAAATTTGAAATAAAATTACATATGGTCTTTAAAAAAAAACACAAAAGGCATAAATTTGATAAGCAGTGATTTTAAAAACAAATTTATATGCTCTACCTGAATGTATTCAACACAAAATTAGTCTATCCCCCCCAAATAATAGTTATTATTAGCATCTTAGCTTCATTTTCATTGGAACTGGCCTCTAACAAGATTATTCACTTATAGGGTACATCAGTGATGAAATTAAATCTTTTCAACACTTATCACTATTAACACAAAGGCATTAAAAAAAAAAAAGAAAAACCAAATCCCCAAACCATGCAAAGCCTTGATTCTATTTCTCAGAATCCTTTTGTAGTCTAGCTTTCCATTTAAGAATATCACCCCAAAGAGCCTCCATGCTCCAGTATGTTACTGACACAAGCATGTCAAGCCTAGTGACTGCTCAGGAAGACATCATGGTGTCTCCAGACTCTGCCCAATCAACATGAAAGAGAAACAGAGTTTTACCAGTTTAGGAAAATGAATGTCATGAAGAGCTCTGCCTTTCTATCAAAATACATGTGTATACTAGATTTCTGTTTTGCATTTACCTCAAGATGCAACAATTACATTTTAACTAGCCAGGACTTCACACCATTAATTATCATGGCTATACATCAAATTTAAATCAACAGCAAAATGAACAGTCATGCACAAGCAAAAGAAAATGTAATCTCCCAGAACACCACAGGAGAAGTTAAAAGCAGCAGGTAATGGCATAAGACTGGTGAGTGATGCTGCTAACTATTTCTTCTAATGAGAAAGGAGTGAATGTTGGAGTCACTTCCACAGCAACAGTATCCTCTGACCGCATTCCTCTGGCAGTCCTTTCCCCAGCTCCCTACTAAAAACGTCAGATGGTAAAACAGTAAGGCAGCTGTTAGCTTCCATCAACAAAAAGTGCAGCTCCATACATTTCCAGTTTAGTCACACTCTGCTAGGACAGATGGAGTAGCCAATGCACTTCACCGGTTGGGGGCTGCAGCAGCAGATTTGGTGTTTTGTTTGGCTTTTGCTTTTTAAATAAAAAAAAATCATTAAGTTTTGCTCTCCAACATAGCTGCTTGCTTCAGCCTTCAGAGGACCCCAAAGCCACAAACCATCCCCAAGGGAACTGAACAGGTCCTCTGGCTGAATTTTCCAAGTCTCAGATATCTCTCTTGCGATCCCATCCTAATTCCAAGCCTCCTTCCCTGTGTCTGAGCATGACTGGTGTGTTGCCATTTAAAAGGCTGATGACACTACCGCAGAGAACTGTGGGCTAATTCCACTAGTTGTCATGACTTCACTGAAGGGTCAAAACAGTGATATCAGTAAGTAACTATGTTGAATCACATTCAGGCATAGCCAAAATTAAAATAAAGGACATTACAGAGATATTAAAAAACAGAAACAAAAACAAAACAAAAAACAAAAAAATTGTGATTATAAATTTGAATAAGGGAATTGAAACTATTATGTCTTGTGAGTTTACATGAAAATGATACTAGTCTTACCTTTCCTAATTCCAATCAAGTTAGAAAGTGAACAAAAAGAATGGCTAACCCAATATTCAACAGCATGACCAGGACAATCATGACTGAATTAGGACCCTGAAAATAAAACAAAATAAATATTACTTTTTAATGTAAAAAAACCCTCAAGGATAAAGTTAGCCCATTAAGTGAATTACCAATTAACCCAATTCTATAACTTAAAACGTAACCAGTTGTTAAAGTTGTAAAAATGTTAAAAGTGACAATGATTTATCTCAATTGAGCACATTCTAATGTTAGAGATTGTTCTGTAAGTGGTAACACAATTTTTAATTAGCCAGCTCCTAACATATGAATACTAGTCCTTATAAAGATAGAACCTTTACCTGAGATGACATTCGCTATCCCTGTGGATTTCAGCCACTGGGAATTCAATTTAGGAAGATTTGCTTTCTCATGAATGCAGTTAAGTAAAACCTTCTACAACAAAGGTTTTTAACATGAGGTCCATAAACTTACTTTTAAAAAATATTTGTATAATTATTTCAATATTACTGGCCTTCTTTGTAATCTTGTGAATTGTTTTATGCATCTAAAAACGTTACTCTGAGAGGGAGCATACAGGCTTTGCCAGACTGTTAAAGGGGTCCATGACAAAAAAAAATTAAGAAGCCCTGCTCTATACCAAAGTATCTAAATAACAAGCATTTAGAGAAAGCTAAAATGAAATTATGTTCCTCTTACCTTCTTCTGTTTGCCTTTTTGGATACCACCCAAATATACATACATATATACATATACACATGGGAAATAATACTTTTTACATACATTTCCTCAAGTCCATATTCCCCAGGCCAGTTTGACAGGTGGTATACTTAAAAAATACATGATAGCAAACTAGAAGAACATGGGACACATTACCTATTAGACTTATGGGTAGGAGAATTTATGAATAAATAAGAAACAGAGAGCAGTGCAAGATGCAAAATGGATAATTTGATTACATTAAACTAAAAAAGTTTTTGTACAAATAAAATCAATGTAGCCAAGATTAGAAGGAAAGTAGAAAATTGGGGAAAAAAACTTTTATAGAAAGTTTCTCAAATAAAGGTCTCGTATTTCAAATAAGTATGTCAAATATATTTGCAAATTCATATTTGTCAAATATATGTTTGTGAAATATGTTTGTCAAATATATTTGACAAATACATATTTGTCAAATATTTGCCAAATTTGTAAGAATGAGTCATTCCCCAATTGATAAGTGGTCAAAAGATAAGAACAGGTAGTTTTTTTAATGATGCAATCAAAGCTATAGTCATATGAAAAATGCTCTAAATAATTATTGATTAGAGAAAAACACATTAAAACAACCTTGAGATATCATCTTATACCTATCAGATTGTTTAAAATGATAGAAGGGGAAAATGATAAATGCTGGAAGGGATGTGGAAAATTAATTAATACATTGTTGGTAGAACTGTGAACTGATCCAACCACTTTGGAGAGCAACCTGGAATTACGCCCAAAGACATGTTAAACTATGTGTATTCTTTCACCCAGCAATATCACTAGTAGGTCTGTTTCCCAAGGTATTCTAAAATATTTATAGCCCCTCTTTTTGTGGTGGCAAAGAACTGGAAATTGAAGGAATGCCCATCAATCAGAGAATGGCTGAACAAGTTGTGGCATATGATTGTGATGGAATACTACTGTGCCATAAGAAATGATAAGCTTAGATGATCTTAGAAAAACATGTAAAGAATTGTATTAAATAATGAAGAGTGAAATTGAGCAGAACCAAGAGAACATTGTATACAGTAACAGCAATATTGTTCGAAGAATAATTGTGAACAATCAAGTTATTTTGAGTACTACAAATACTCAAATCAACTATAAAAGACCTATGGAGGGAGCTGCTATCTACCTCCAGAGAAAGAATTGATAAATAGAAGTATGCAAAGTATAATTTTACATATATTTATAAATCTGTGTTAAATGATGGCCTTCTCTAGTGCAGGGCAAGGAGGGAGGGAGACAATTCGGAACTTAAGATGTAACAAAATAAACAAATTAAACTAAATTTTAAAAAATCCAGGCAATTTTGTAATAGTGGATCAGATTTAAATTACTCACCTTCAGAATTAACTTCATAGCTGCAAATTTTCATTTCCTATACTCATATCCAAAACACACCCTAAAACCCAGTATCAACATGCTCAATGATGGTTTTCAAGGCAGGCTCCCTTTTTAACATACACCCTTACCAGCATCTATTCTCACCTAACAAGGCTATTTACATGGCCTGCCGTAATTATTTTGCTGATTTGATTTTTGTTGTTCTTCAGTCCCTTTTGACTCTTTTTTTGACCCCATTTGGAATTTCTGGGCAAAGATACTGGAGTGGTTTGGCATTTCTTTTTCCAGTTCAATTTACAGATGAGCAAACTGAGCCAATCAGGGTTAAGTTACTTGCCCAGGGTCACACAGCTAGTAAGTGGCTGGGGTCACATTTGAACTCATGAAGATGAGTCTTCCTGATTCAGGCCCTGACATTCTATTACCGCGCCACTTACCTGCCCTGCTGATTTGATTACAAGTTCTATACACAAAGTCTCACATAATTAATCTCTTCTTTATTAATCTCTTCTTTATTAATCTATTATTAATCTATTTGTTTATTAATCTATTCAGTTAGGAATCAATCTTTTGCACTGGCTATACTTTCACTTCCATTCCTGTTTTCCCCCACATACTTGTCTTAGAAGACTGGTTTGAATACTCCTTGCTCCTCACTGTTATTTCCAGACTCCCACCATTACTCAGCTACCTCTCCTCCTTTATATCAAAATTTTCTACCCTATTCAAATTATGGTATATGTTATCTACTGGCACCCAGGTCATTTCCCTCTCCTTTCTTAAAGAAATTATTGCTTGGTTCACTGTCTGCCTCTCCTCTACAACTATTCTTATGTTAGAGGCTTCTATATCCATGTTGATGCTCCCTCAAACTTCCTAACCTCCCAATTCCTCAATTTCAAACTCTACAGCCCATTCAACTCCACCTTAGCCACACACAGGGATAGTCACATCCTGGATTCATCATTACCCACAAGTGTTCCACTTTTGTAATTAAAAACTTTGACATTCCTTTATTTGACCATAACTTCCTATCATTCCATCTGCCTCACCCAAACCTTTTCCTTGAGCTCACAATGAATGTCATTCCTTCTACTCCTCAGTACTTTCTCAGGCCATTACCACCCCTGCTCTGATTTTACTTTACTTCCTTCCCAATCTTCGCCCTATAGTTAAGCAATTCAATTCCATACATTGTCATCAATTTGAATCCCTTGACCTCTTGTTCTTGATAAACTGAAGCCTCAGTTTATTCCCATCGTGCTCTTCCTTTGCACCTAACACATGTGCTGAACAGACCTGGGGGAAGTCATAAAACCATGTTGACTGGGTATACATAAATTCATTTCTCCCAAATTAATCACCTCTCATTCCTTTCAGAAGCTATTCCAAATCTTCTCTCCTTTCCTCAAGTGTCCCATATCTACCCCCTTTCTCCCACTTTGAGGAGTTTCCCTCTTACTTGTTTGAGAAAACTGAGGCCATTTAACATGTACTCCCTCTTCTATAGTTCTCAACAATTCAGTGGTGTCAAACTCAGAAATGGATCCCAGGAGACTACACAGTGACTTAGAAAACAACAAATCAACATTATGTTATACTGTATTTTTATTTATTTTGTTAAGCATTTCCCAATTAGATTTTAATTTGGTTCAGGCTGTACTTGATAATTTTACTACAGCTGTGAGTTTGACAGCTCTGCCTATACCTCAAAATCCCTTGACTCATCTTTCCTTTTCTCTTCCTCATTTTATGTGAGTCTCTGATAAGGAAGCTCTTCTACTTGCCAAGGCAAACTCCTTCACATGTCATTGATCTCATGCTCTCCTGTCTTCTCCAGCAGATTATAACCCCTTTTAATCTTCAGTTTCTCCCAAACTAGTGTATCTTTACCTATTGCCTTCAACTATGACCAAGTCTGCCCCAACCTTAAAAAAAAAACTTCACTAGACCCTGTTCCCCTCAAGTTGTCATTCAATATCTTGCCTCCCTTTCTCATTAGAACTCCTACAAAAAGCTATCTATGCTTATTGATTCCACTTTCTTTCTTCTCCCTCAACTCTTTGCAATCTGACTTCCACTCTCACTTGATTGAAACTACTCTCTCCAAAATACCAATGATTTCTTAATTTTCAGATCACATGTTCATTTTCCAGTCCTCAACCTAACTGACCTTTCTGCTGTATCTGACAATCTTGATCATCCTGTCCTCCTGGATACTCCCTCTTCTCTGTGTACTTGTGATGCTGCTTTCTCTAGATTCCCCTCCTAACTCTCTGACTACTCCCTCTTAGTGTCCTTTGCTGGCTCATTATTGATATCACACCCTCTAACACTGGGTGTTCCCTCAGACTGTCCTGGGTCCTCTTCTTTTCTCTGGTCATCAATCAGTTCCTATGGGTTCAACTATCTTCTTTGTCCAGATGACTTTCACATCTAAATATCCAGTCCCACTATCTCTTCAGATCAAGTTCCATGTCATCAATGGCCAATTAGATATTTCAAACTAGAAGTATAAGAGACATGTCAAATTCGACATATTTACAAGAGAACTTATTCTTCTCTCCCCCAATCCAATCCTTTTCCAAATGTCACTATTTCTACAGAAGTTATCACCATTCTTGTAGCCTCTCAAGCTCATTATCTCTGTGTTATCCTCATCTCCTCACTCTGTCTCACCCCATGTATTCAATCATGTGGCCAAACTTTGCTGTTTCTAGGACTACAACTTCTCTTGTATATGACATGCAGCCACCACCTCATAATTTTTTACCTGGATAATTGCAAGTTTCCTAATTGTGTCCCTACCTCAAGTCTCTTCCCACTACAATCCATTTTCCACCCAGCAGCCAAAGTGATTCTCCTTAACCGAGTCTCCCTTGCTCAATCAATCCCAGTGGCTTCTATTGCTTCTAGAATAAAATATAAATTCCTCTATTTGACTTTTAATGCTCTTCTCAACCTGGTTCCTATCTTTC